CTTACTAGTAGTAACAAGTGCCTTACTAGTAGTAACAAGAAGCTATTAGAATGCCATGTTGATTCAGAACATCGAAATCCCAGCAGCGAGGGAGCTCCATCAGGCCGCAAACAATGGCTTCGAAGCTGAGATGCGGCGAAGCCGCCTCACACACTCGTACAAGAAAGAAGCGTGGCACTTGTTCCTAGTAGCTTCTTGTTACTACTAGTAAGGCACCTGTTACTACTAGCGTGGCACCTGTTAGTACTTGAGTATAGACGGGCACAGAGTTTCAAAAATCAGTGTCCGTCTGGACGTCATTAGTGCCCCAGCTGCTACCGCCCCTTCTAAGAAGCACCTGAAAGTATTGGAACCACAGCACGAAGCACACAAAAGAGCGATGGCCTCCAACCTAATAGCAAACTATATTAGACCTTTCTTTTTTTGTCCGTTTTTAGCAATGGCCTCCAATCTACTAGCGATGGCCTCCGACAAGACCCGGACAAAGCATGGACAAAAGGACAATGACAAGACACGGGATTTGCCTGAGCAAGTCTGAAATCAGAATGACTTTGTGTCTGAAATCAGGTATCCATTTTTTTACATAAATTGCATCTTTACATCTTCACAAAGGGCGGCCTGGTTGGAGTCGTCTTTGGGCTCCGTGCCTCCGATTGCAATTGCTATTGCGCTTGCACGCTTGCAGCATGATAACAGGTGGAAGACCTTGCATCTGGCCTTCCATGTGGGCGAACTGCCTCGTCTCCAAGCGTACCTCCTTCATGCGGAAGCACTCCCGCACGGCTCCTGAAACGAAAGTCAAACACATGAGCAGCAGTAGTAACAAGGGCATCGCTACTAGTAGCTAGAAGCTACTAGGTTGGAGGCCATCGCTAGTATGTTGGGGGCCATTCGACCAGAATGACTGCTCGTTTCCCTGTATGTTGCTTGAACATGTTTGAACCGAATTTGAACCCATCCTTTGCCAAAGGCTTCAGAGTCTAGCTGGACCATCACCTACCAATGTTCTTTCAACCGCCACAGGAAAATGGGTAACAAAGGCTTGCCATGCAAAGCCTGATCGAACGTATCATAGAATATGCAAAGCCTCAAAGCCTGTTGCTATTGCAGTGCTACTAGGAGCAAAGGACGCTACTAGGGGCTCCTGGCATCGCTACTAGGAGCAAGGGCCTTTCTACTAGTAACAAGAAGCTAATAGAAACAATAATTACTAGTTAGAAATTAAACTGAATTAGAATTAAATTTCTTCCCAACCTGTTCCTCCACCCAGCCATCGGTGTGCACATCAAAGCAGCGCTTCTTCGCCAGCACTGGAGGGCCTGGCACAACGAACAGCCTCAAATGCGTAGTCTTTTCTAGCCCTGAAGTCCAAATTCAATATTCATTGCTTATCCATATTGATGTGTGTGTGTGCGTGTCACCTCCCGTCTCGCAGGGGGGCAATGAACACTTTGGAAGGCATTGCCCAACGAAGCCCTTTCCATTGTGTTGTGATATGACTCTGGGACGCCAAAGTCACGTACCTGCCATAATTGTCCAGCATATCTTCACGTTTTACCCTTGTTCAAACAATACTGTGACTGCCGACTTATTCACCTTTCGGTTCGCAGGCTAAGGGCCAATCTGCATTAAGACGTAAAGGGTTAATGAGCACCGAGATCCATACAGAATTCTCGCTCCATGGAGCTCTTTCTCAAGTGTGTGCACGTGAGTGTGTGCGCTTGTGTGTGCGCGTGGGTGTGTGTGTGTGTATATGTCCCAGTGTGTGTCAAGAAACACTGTGGGTATGCGAAAGAAGCGGCCTGGATTGAAGTCCTTCCATTCCTTGGAGATCTGCTCTCGAGCCTTCCTGCAGAAAAGCAGTGAGATTTGTGACAGCGATGCAATGGCCTCCAGCCTACTAGCGATGGCCTCCTTCTTGCAAGCTTCTATGAGCTTCACAAAGCGATGCAAAGCAACTGCCGCTTTCGTCCATTCAATGCAGGAAAGAAAGAGGTGTGGTCTCAGGCCCACCTGGCGGCACGCAACAGAGATTCCTGCACGCCCCGCAAGCCGGTGGAGGCTTCCGCCGCCACTTCTGCCTGGGATGTTGCTACCGGCTATACCAGCAAACTAGTACAATCAGGTCAGGAAACTTTACTGTTTCCTTTTCTGCCTTTTTTGCAGTGGTTTTTCTGTCTTCTCTTAAATCCAAACTACTGACTAGAGATGAAAGACATGCCAGTTTCTGTCAGTTTCCGCTCTTCTCTTTTCAGTTCCGGGCCTTGATGCTCGCCTTGGTCTCCTCCGAGAGGCTAAACTGCCGTGGCGCAGGAACAAACATCGCTGCGTGGCACAGCGTCTACGCTCATTGACTCAAGCGGCGGCCATGGGAGTGAACATGTGGCTCAAAGCGAAGAGGTCAGAGTAAAGGTCTTGTTCGTAGCTCCTTGCTTCTAGTAGTACGGCCAGGAGCCCCTAGTAGCGTCCTTGCTCCTAGTAAAGGTCTGTCAAAAGATCAACGTCGTCAAGTTTGCCGAGTCAGCTGACCTGAATGTACCTGGCCATGCTCTTTGAAGTGCTCCCATGGGCTCAAGGGGTCTTGTTCTGCCAAATGTCTGCCGTGCAAGTGGCATGAGATGCTGGTCTTTTCTGAGGTTAGAAACTAGGGACATTCTCCCTCTGAGCCAAGGCCACAGCAAAATGTAGCAAAATGCGCCTTACTACCTTTCCACCACAACTGGGCCTCATGTCCTCTATCTTCCTACCTTTCGGTTCCGCTCAAGCGGGCAATCCAACCTTCAAATCCTCCGGCATCACTGGGCTCCATCTTTGCAGCAATGCCTCCAGCTATGCTGACTGTTGTCTTCTTTCTTCCCCAAAGAATGCACTCAAGTTGTCTTGTTCTTTTGAGTTATTAATGGCGATGGCCTCCAACCTACTAGCGATGGCCTCCAACTCAAATGAACAAATAGTAAAATCTACCAACTAGAAACAAAAGTGATTTAAAAAGGCTCTCGTACACGAAACAAAACGGCCATCCGGCTCTTTTTTGGCTCGATGTGTTCTCTGTCTGCTGGCTCTGGAAGCATCGAAAGGTGAGGCTAATCCTTCCTCGGTCAAGTCTGAACAAAACTAAAACAAAATCTTTCGATCGTTCTCTTCTCTTCTCTATCTCTTGTCTTTCTCTATCTCCTTTCTTTCCTTGTTCAACCCGATTTTACTTCCTTTTAGTTCGCTTTCTTTCTGCATAACTCCAAATCTGTTCCAAGCTGCTTCCGCTGGCTTTGCAAGGTGGAATGGCATGTTTGTGGGTGCGTTGGCAGCTTCCACCCATCACAATGAGGTCGCCATCTTTCACTTCGACCTCCACCTTCACTTCGCAACGTTGCAAGCAGCCGTGTCTAAGAATACTGACAAGACCGCTACTAGTACATACTATCTGCCCATGTGTGTCGTTCTGTTTGCATTATTTGTTTCCATAGACCTCTATTTTTTCGGTTTTCTTTTCCTTTTGTAAGTTTGAGCAAAGCAGCAACCATTCAGTCTACATTGGATGCTGGAGCTTCATTCTCCACTACAACTTGTTCTCGCCTTCTTGCCTGCATCTGGCTTTCTGGGAGTCACTCGGAAGATCCTTCAAGGAAACAAAGAACAAGACCAGTTGCAAGGAGCGCATGAAGAAACATGTGGCTGCAATTGTGATATCACATGTTGCTCGGTTGTCAAAGCTCATCCGCCTGTGACTTCCCCATGAGACTGCAAAGATGGGTGCATTGGGCACCAAGCCGCGTTCATCATCAGAGTGAGCCCCAATGGAATGCTGACCTCCATCATACCAATTCACCAGACCTCCAAGGGGCGGGCTTCACTCAGAAAAGCAAAGCGGAAAGCAAGGAAAGAAGCCTTTGTTCCTAGTAGCTTCTTGCTCCTAGTAGTAAGGCCAGGAGCCCCTAGTAGCTTCTTGCTCCTAGTAGCGCTGCCCTTTGTTCCTAGTAGCTTCTTGTTACTACTAGTAAGGCACTTGTTACTAGAAGCGATGCACTTGTTCCTAGTAGCGAACCTTGTTACGCAACGAAAGGCTCAAGTCGCAGTTCAGTGGCAGGCACCATAGATGCAATCTTTCAGTGAGGATTGCATGAGGGCTGCCCGGAGCTTGGCCAAAACGTGCCACACCTGCGTGCTTTGCATTGCTAAATGAAATCTCTTGTTCCAGAACCCTTGAAAAGAGGAAACCCTGGCCTTTCAGAATCCTCGTCAGTGCCATAAAGCATCATATATGTTGCATCATAAAGCATCGAATTGAGCCCTTGTGGCACCTCGGGCGACTCCTCTGCATTGAGCGGATGTGCTTCAGCCACTTGACCTGAAAAGGCGTAGTCTGTACCTAGGCGAGGCTCTGTGGGATGCAGATGTTCGCATGGCCATCAAGTCCAAACAGTTTGTCAAAACAAATGTGCCAAGCTCCAGGAAGGAGTTTGCAAGGTGTTGCTCCAGACCTTCTTGTCTTCTGCTTTTTGCGCATATAACTTTCAAAAAAAACGCTGCTGTACACATTCATCCAAAGCACCAAAGGATTGCTGATACCGGTGAAAAGTAACTTCCTTTCCGAAGAGCTTCCCCTGAACACACTAAATGCACTGAACGAATGGCTCGGTCCAGAAAAGCTCAGACGCGGTGAGGACATGAAAAATAGCGATGGCCTCCAACCTAATAGCCGCACCTTGCCCAAGGAGCTGGGGTGCTTTGCCCACAGTGTGTCAAAGTCTTCGGAGGATGGAGCCCAACGTCGAAGCAAAAGCAGCCAACCTCAGTGCCAGCTTCTTTGTTACTACTAGTAAGGCACTTGTTACTAGAAGCGATGCACTTGTTCCTAGTAGCTTCCAGTTCTTGCAGAAGTGGTTGCTCGTGTTCTTTATGCCCCTCTCTATGGACTCTCTCACCTGGCTCTCCACTTGGTGCAAAGCACCTGGTCACCGGTTCGCGTCGTTTGCCAAGAAACTGGTGGCCGATTCGTTCAGAGCTGCGAAACGAGCCTAGACAAAAAGTGCTCACAAACTAGGCTTGAGAGAGACAAACAAACAAACAAACAAACAAACTTGTCTTTAATAAGAAGAAAATGGTATAAGAAGAAGAAGAAATGAATTGCTCTTTGACAAATGAATGTGTCTTTTTCTTTCCAAGCAACATTTGCAAAGCCCGGGCCAAGAAGTGCTTGAACATCTTGCGGAGTCTCAGCAAAGCCTTCTCATCAGCAATTCTTCCGTCTGTCTGTTTTCGTGTTTCTTTCAACCATTTTCAACCCTTATTTGTTGTTCTTCCTTCCGCCCTATCAAAGCGGAAAATTACTTTACATGAATTGTCCCATCTTTGTACTATGACCCCCTGAAAAAGCAATTCCGTCCTGGAATCCCTCCGAGAAAAAGACGCTTCTTGCTCGGCCTCAGATGATCAGAGATCATCATGCGGCTTGGATGTGATGTCGATCCACATCCTATTTGTGAGAGCGCCTCTTGTGAAGTCCAACGACCCTCAAGACCTTTTGGGCATGTCGTGTCCTTGGTCCGTTTCATTTACTTGCCTGATCAAACGCCAACGTCAAGGCCAAGACGTGCACGTGAGCGTCAAGGGCCGCTTTTTGGACCTTGGTTCTTGCTCGTAGTAGCGATGCCCTTTGTTCCTAGTAGTTTCTTGTTCCTAGTAGTAAGGCCAGGAGCCCCTGGTAGCATCCATGCTCCTAGTAACGTAGGTTTCTTAGCATAGGACACAAATACATGCGCGTTCTTTGAAGCCGAAGAAGCCAAGCTTTGGTTTGTGAGCAACTCTGATAGACTAGCCAGAGTCTAGACGAGAAGCCACGATTAGCGGATTAAGCGAGTTGGTGGACTTTGTGGCGTAGTTGGCGAAATCGTGCTGCACGTGTACTACGATTACTGCAGCTAGATTCAGATGCGCCAAACTCAGTGACAAGAGTTGAGTGATGTGTTCGGCTTGTTCCATTCCCTTCTTGCTGCTCGATGGTTTTTGCAGCTGTTGTTGTGAAATACGTAGTTATGAACAATTTATATTGTCCAGAGGTTGAAGAGATACAAAGAAAGAATAACGGTCTGGTTCCATCGGGTTCCGAGATTCGGATACATATGCGGATGTTCATTTTACTGACCCTTTCTTGGCTGTATATTTGTTATTGCTCTTAATGTGTTGTCTTGTTTGGAGACCTTTAGGTCTATTTGTTCTTTCTGTCTTTCCCTCCTGCTTTCTTTCTGGCGTTCTTTCAGAGCCTTTCAGTCTGTTATCAATCCATAAAATCTGCTTCAATTCGATGCACTGCTTCACTTGCTTCGCTTATCTTCGCTTTACGTCTTGCTTCAACCTGAATCATATTAAAGAAAGAGTTGCTAGCCACACTACAAGCTGCCCACGACAGTCTTCTCTTGCCACGATGCCGGGATTCTTCGCTGTCACTGATCTCCAGTACAGGCTGCTTTGCCAAGGACAAATCAAATGGGAATGCGCCGTTCTCCATTTGTCACGGCGCTGAAACTAGTCATGAGATGTCATGAGTCAATGATCAAGTTTTCTCGAGTTCGTTGCTATGAGCTTCTGTGAGTGTTGACTTGTGATCTCCGATCTACAAGGTATTGGCAAGTTGTATCAACAAACTGGCTTTGGAATTCTTGGTTCGCCTGAATCGCTCTTCTCTTGGTAGCCTCACCGCTCTGCTTTTTGCGTAAAGCTGTTCTGTCTGCTTCCTTTGCCATCTCATCCCTTCCCATCCCTTCGGGAACACCTCGAGCCACTTGAGCTTCATCCGGCAGGAAATTGTGCGCGTAGCTCGCATGACAAATCAGTTGTTTTCTACGTTGTTTTGTTTTGTAGGTGTATTTGTATTTGTTTTCATTTGTCGAATAATGTGTCAAAGCAACTCATGATGTGTGCTGCGTGTGCTGCGTGTGCTGCATGTGCACGGCCTCCAGAACTGCTGCACTGCACCCTTGGCGCAAGGCCTTGATGAGCAAACCAGCCTCATCGGTGGTTTTCCTTCGTTTGCTTTCCTGAAGGCTTCCTAAAGGTTTTTCTTGTATGCTGTTTCCTTTAGTTGTCTTTTTGCTATGTTCTTCTTTCTTGTCTTGTCCTCGTCATGCAATTCCAGTCTTTGAAAATCCCGGACATCCCGTTGATTCGAGCCTCTGGATCAGCACCTGAGAACAGAATTGTGCCGTCAAAACACTTGTCGAAGACTTTTTCAGACAAACTCAGTACAGAATTCTGCTCTATCGCTTCATTTTATCAATTCTGCTTCTATTGTTGATTCATATTCTAATCACTTCATATTTTATCTCT